TTATTTGTTCCATGGCAAACATAGTTGACTTATTTGACCAAACGTTGATTGTGTGAGTCACCTGTGAAATCCCGATGATATTCATCATGGCGTTTCTGATTCATCAGTTGATGAGAGGTAGGCAGACATCTCAATTACAACCCCCCCCCCCGGCTAATTGAATTCAGGATTGAAGTTTCTACCTGCAATGAGAAATACATAGGCCCAGATAATGACGAATTCGTTCAGATTTTCACCAAACACTTACTTATCGACACTTCGCGTGCAAACAGACCTACCACTTGACCTGAATACGGACAATTCGACTCAGGCGGAATATCCATGTAATCATTTCATACTAGCTTTGCTCCTATTTTGTATCCTGAGTTCTCCTGAAGTAATCAATTAAGGGCTTGAGAGTTCATTCGTATGCGAAAAAATAACAGACAAGTTTACTGATTGGTAACCTACACTCTGATCGGACTTCACGAGATTTCGTTCGTGACTCGTAGACCCATACAGCAGCCAGGATTTCCACTTGGCCGTATTTCACAAACGACGGAATGACTTTTACCGTCAACTGAATGGGGAAGATCTGTCAAGTATGATACCAAAGTGAAGTTTACATACAAAAGTTCGTTGTGTGTTTATCGACTAGCTAACCTTAACATGCAATTCTGTTTTGCACACAATTGTTGTCAACAATTCGGAAACTAGCATAACCTGGATTTGTAACGTTCTGTCGGCATTTTTGAATGGGAAATTCTCTTCGGAAACCATCGAACATTCACTTGTCAGATTCTGCCAGAAAGCCGCCACTATTAATAGCTACCATTATTTGAGGTACACGATGGACTCGTCTGAAAAAAAACCGATTGTTTTTGAAAAAAAAATTTCAAGCGGAATATGCATTCTGACATAAGAATTCTGTTACCGAATTTCGTTGGAAATTCCACATTCCTAACTTATTGTATTCAGTTATGTCCAATTGATTTGTACAGGCACTGTTTATGGTCTGAGTTTTGTTGCTTGAGAGCTTACTAACTGGCAACAAGTTAAATATATTTTATCTGGGATAGACCTCTTTGTGATGACTGAAGAAGAACACTGACTAGCTGTTTCTTCTGTCAGCAATGAGTAATTTTTGTATTCCAGGTTGGACTCGAACCACGACAGTCACAAATCGCACGGGCTAAAACAAGCATCACGTTCTAAATTTATGAAGCCGTTCTCTCACGGTGCTTATCGTTGATCTTGGAGATCACTGCTCGAGGTTTCTATCCAAAGGTCCACCGTACGAGTCGCGTTTGAGACACAAACGATGGAGACTGATGACATGTCCCAAAACGGTTACCTAGTACTCTGTTTGAAATCACAAAGAATTCCAGTTCTATATATTCCTAAACTAAAAATTCATCTTTGCTCCAATTTCTCGGGATACAGAAGAAGAATGAAACGCAAAAGCGGCTCTTGGTATTATTTAGTTTTTCTTCCAGTAGATCTATGGTACATACGTTCAACACAAAGTTAGGCACCCGACCGAATGTATTACAGAACAATATAAAAAAATGGCTCGCCTAAAAGCAATCAGTAAACCCGTTCCATCCTCGATCATTATTCGATCGACAGGGATTATGGGATCCACCAAGAGACCAAACGGGATCATGGTTGAATTTCACCTATCCCTGGTTGACATTGTATTATTATATTATAGATGATTTGCGTAGGCAACTGTGCCTACATTTCAGTCAGAAGATGTATTTACCGTTACAATGGGATAAAAAATGAAATGAAAATCCGTACACAACAATGATAAAACTAAATAGGTGTTCATCTTTGTAGATTTAAAATTGGTTCGTTACGAATCCTCACCGTGTCAGTGAGAATACGAGCCAGACAGGGAACTGTTGAGTTGCGATGTCTATGCGAGAGGTAAGCAGTGAAAATTGGATCGGGTTGTAGCGTGGGCACGGTAAGCAGATAAATCGGGATTGACCCGGTAACTGGGGTCATTGAGAATCTGACGAGTGAAATCCTCACAAGAAGTGATATGCAAATTACACAATTTTGTGATCAGAGCGTTTAAGGGAATGAGAGAAAAACGGCTGATAATTACTAAACCGCGAGGGGGAGTAATGAAATCCTTTCTAAGTAGTCCAGGAAAAATAACGGGAGAACAAAATAGTATGGCAGGAAAATTGCATTGATAAACAAAGGAACACAGTTTCATGCCACACTCCTAATTGTCGTAGCTTGCGTATTTGAAAAGATAAGCGACGCAGTCTACCATCACAATCTAGCACATGAGGGACCACCGTAGACTGCTATCTATGGTACCTCTCAAGTATTTGGTGGTATGTGTGCTGATAACGGGTATGGAAATGATGACTGAGGGTTCCAAGGGATAATCGGATCGGGAAAGACTAAAAATGCATTTGAAGCACTTAGAAGTATTCAACCGGAGACCGGGTTGATTTGAGAATGATTGCACTTGTAGTAAACTGTCGGGAAATGATTCTATATCCAATTGGTTTGAAATAGCTTGACAGAAAACAACACCTGCATATTTGAAGGTCTTGGCTGATGGGATTGAGAGTAAGTCACTGCTGAAAGGTGAAAATAAGACGGGAGAGAGCACAGCACCCTGAAGGACTTCAGAATTATTCACTGACGGTTTTGAATTAGTGCCGTTTGCATTCATCCTTTGAATCCTTCCTGTGAAATAGTCGTTCAACCATGACAACAAGTTGGTGGGGTAACCGAATGGCTTTAACTTTTGCAGGAGAAGAGATCGTGGAACGGAATTAAAAGCGGAAGAATAGTCAAGGAAAACACAACGAATCGACTTTTGAGAACTATCTAAGGATTTGCAAATAAAGTGCATCATTGAAGAGACGGCATCCAAAGTGCATCTACTTGGCTTGTACGCAAACAGGAAGGGGTTAGTGGGAGCAATAATACCAGATTGCCAGTGGGTGAGAATAGCGAGCTCCGCAAGTTTAAGTCCAGAGGAGGTGATGGCTATAGGACGAAAGCGTTTAGATAAAATGCTAGATGAAGAGAATTTAGGAATGGGAACAATGGTGGACGGTCTCCAGGAATCCGGAGTGGAGAATGTGTAAATGGATTGATTAATAACGGACGCAAACATATCTGTGACTGAGCCAGCGCGGTAATTGAGCAATGGCGAATATGGACCATCGGGGCCAACTGCGTTCGAGATTTTCGTAGTTTCATGATGATAGACCTCCTAGCGGGTGACTGGTACCCTATTAGATAGATGATCTGCTGAGGTACGGAGACTTTAGGTCATTCGAAGTATAAATGAATGCAGCATTGAGGCTGCCACGACGATAATTTTGTTGGTTGTCCGTTTCCTCTGTTCGAAAAGCAATCTGGTCGTTTGCCATAACCGTCTTCCATCTGCAGCTCCCAAAACTTGCTTTGCGAATGACACAGGGTAGTTTCAGAATAGGATTTAGCCGCGACAGAGGGTATCGCTGTGAGATCAGTGATCTAAACTTTGTGTGCAAAGGGGTTTGGTTCAATCATACTTAGCCTGGCGTGTGCTATTTTGAACATAAAACAATGACATGGAGACCCGGACCGTATCACATCCAGGGATCAGTTGGGGTATTAGTTAAGCCGTCACTTGTGAGCGCTTCTCTTGTAACCAAACCCAAAGGGGCACTCAATCCCACCTCATTCAGTGCTTTAGGTACTCGTTTAACCTTTTTACAAATATGATCTGTTTGATAACATCATTCGGAATAAGTTAAAGTACGACAAGATGATATTGATATTACTTGGCGGTGGTGTGTGGGGGGGATTCTATACATTTTACCCCAGATAATAGTTGTTCAAATGGTTCTCAGGCAATCACTTCTGTTTTCCGGAAAAGTTATTTAATTGCTTCCTAGTGAGAGTTTGTTTTTGGTGCTTCATCAACTGACCACGGATAACAGTTTGTAGTAGACCACGAGTGAGAAAAACAAAAACATAAAGAATAATCGAGGTTCCAGTGATTGGCATTTATTCCATGACGACATCAACTGTATATGAATAACTATAGATAGCAGACGGGATTCCGAACGAA